ACAATGGTGGATCTGAGTTAATTACACAATGAGTAGTAAGGAGATATATGAGGGTACAGAATTCTGCAATGTAAAAGGATTTCTTAGCTATTACCAACATCTGCTCATTGAAAGTTCGAAGATAATCATTCTTTATTCTAGATCATAAAGACAAGTGAGGATAAGGTGACCCAGCACTACCTGTTTAACATTTCTGATCAGAACATTTTCTCTCTCTCCTTAGCATGGCAGAGGATTCAGAAGTGCATGTTTATATGAAAAATCCACAAAATTTGATTACACGCCCTTAGTTGTCCTAAGATTGTTTTCCTATGGTGACAGTGAGCAGAGATGTAGCTGTGTATGACTTTGAGTTTCACATGAAAATTTCTGAAACTGCTGGAACTGGCACATGTGTAATTTTCCAGATTCATACAGTTTGTATTTTTATACATTTTGATGCAAACTGGGGTGAACTACACATGCACTACGCATGCATTACATTGTAGCTAAAGTTGAAAAGAGAAGGATGGGAAACTGCAGCTCCTTTCGTCCCAATCTTTAACTAATCAGAAAATCTGAGGAGAAATCTGTATAAGGAGAGTTTCTTAGGAATACAAGTTATTCATAAGTCAGCCAAACTAATGGAACTATGATTGCCCTAATCCGGGACGTTTGTGCACTGCCAAAGAAGAGCTAAAGCATCAGTGAGGAAAAACAACAACAAAACAAGTCAATAGAGAATGGAGATTTCCATTAAAATGTGATATATTGGTTCATATGTATAGATGCAAATTTAAATATTAATAAACTTCAAACAAAAGTAAAATTCAGGTCACAGAAGTAGGGATGGCTATGACCTGACAAACTATACATTGCTAAGTCTTCTTTCTGAGTCAACTTCAAGGACTCTGACAACTTTTTCCATGGTTCTTTCATGGAAGGCATTATTTGGCACAGAGAGCCCTCCCAAGGAATAGAGAAATCTGACTCTGATTAACAGAAGAGACTTTCAAACAGGGGGGCTGTCCTCTATAAAGGACCCCTCTAACCCTTCTGTCTCTATGTATAGGAGAGAGGAACTCGTAGTCTGCACAGTCTCAATCCATCACATAAATGATCTGGAGGACTTCCTCTCCCCTCCTCAAAGCCCCACCCCGTGAGGATTTTGCTCCATCACACATCCTCTGAACAGATCAAGTAGGGGGAAACTCCTTGTGATCTTCAAGCTGGGACTGATTATTACAGCAGGGCTTATTTACCCTGCCACTCAAAGCTTCCAGTTGATGTTCAAGAAAATCTGCACTGTTATTGTTAATCATAAATCAAACATAAAACTAGGGAGCTTTGTCCGCCCTGCACTTCCACTGATGAAGGAAAATGCAAAAGCTAGATCTACACAGACCTGAAGACTGGCTGCAGATGCATTATTTCAGTCTGCATTGGGAACCGTGCATACCATAGTACTCATGACATGAGGGGAAGCAGCTACAGACGAGACATCAAGAGCACGGCCATGCTCTTAAAATCGTCCCAGCCATCAGCCAAAGCTGATTTCCTGCTCTTGGCATATTAGAAAGAGTTAACATCTGTCTAAGTAGAAGATAATACCAGGAATAGTTAACTTTGTTTCCAGATAAGTTATAAAACACTTTTAATAATACATGGTGAAAGCAAGTATTTACCATGTGCTGGATAAGGCAATACTTTTCCCTCAATATGGTGCCTTATGTGAAAAGAGGGAAAGTGCACCTGGCTCCACACATATCTAGGACATTTTTCTCATTCATCCTAAATGAAATAGTACTTCAAAATGCAGCCCACATATAGAAAACTCAGTGCAGGAAACAAGTCCATAATTTGTCACGAGGGGGCATTGCTCATGCTTCTCTCTATATGATGAACTGAACTGAGGTGGGAAGATTACCATCTGGTCTGGCCCAACATATCGTTATCAAGGAAAGGAGGTGCTGCATGGTGGTCTTAATATGACTGAAAACCCTGTCAGCTTTGAAATGGAAAGGTAAGAAGCTGAGGAAATGACTCAAGATATTTCAGTACCTAAGGATGAACAGTCAAAGGGCATCCTGCCCTCACTGGCCACTGGCAGAAATACATTGAATAATCTATATTTATTATTTATTATCTTTCCTATTTCTCATCTTTCTTTTAAGATTTACTGCTTAAGGCAGGCTTCTTCATCTCTCCTAAAAGTAGAGATGGTCCAACATATATCCATGCCTTTCAGAAGTTGGCCTAAGGCTTGTTCCCTATCAAGGAACAGAACATAAACGACAAACAGGTCCAACGTTGTGAAACTACAGTTCCCGAGTGCAAAGGCTTTAATCACTAATTTCTTTTAAAAACTGCAGTTTTCACAATCATTTTATGCATAAAGGTTTTCAAACATTGCATGGCTTTTCATTGCAACGATCCTGGTATTATGGATCACCAATATTCCAATTTGTACAGACAGAAGGATTAAAGCTGAGGCACACACTTTGGGTTTAAGGCTAAGCAGGAATGTGAATCTAGGCCTGCGTACAATAATCTCAACATGATGGCCCAAGCAGCCTTTTCTTCTTTTCCTTCAGGAGTGCTGGGGATGAAGGACAGCTTAAAGGAGCTCATAATGCCTTCCACAAAAGCTTACTTTCAGTCCCTGAGCTGGCTGAAGATGTACCGTATGCTGAAGGAACACAGAAAAGGGGAAGCAGTTAAAAGGGAAGGATGGCAGAAGCAATGTCAAAATGAGAAGGATGATTTGGATGAAGGGGAGTCACATGGAAGACTGGATAATAGGCATATTCCTACGTGTTTTGATGTATCTAGCTGACAAGAGGGGACTATACATGTTTGGAGAGAACAGAAGATACATTTATATACAAACATATCCATATTTGCTTTCAATTTCCTCTGTTATCTCCTTCTCTCCAAAAATGTCATTACCTCCCCACTCACCCCACACTTTCAGCCATGAATAGGTAACGGAAAACCTTGCTGGTTTCACTGCACAGCTTGAGGATATGCTATAAGCTCCTGGATGTACCATAAGCTCCTTTTTTATTCTAGCACAGCTCAGTGTCCACACATCCCACGTTTATTATTTTTAGGCAACAACCATCACTAAATAACACAGCTCTCTCTCCTTTTCTGGAGAAAATAACCCCCAAACCTGCTATAAAATAACAAATGACTAGGAAAAGACGAAAGGTTCTTCAAGCAGAAAGAGAAATACCTGAAGCAGGCAGCAAAGTACGCCGAGCCCATGCTGGGATACTGATTCAGCTGTGAGTCAGACAGAAGAGTGCTGCCGACTGCATCAGCAACGTAACCCTGCTGCAGATGGGCTGCAGCAGCTGCAGAGGCCCCGTCAAATGCTGCACAGATTTGACACTGCTTGCTTTATGAAAGCTGCTATAATTATAGCTCCAAGAAGAGGAGCCATTGCAAGCCATAGGAAGCCATCCACTTACTTTATATCCTATAGGTGTGGACAACATTTTTGCCTTGATATTAGGTCACATGTCCTCAGGGTTTGGGTGTGCAGTTAAAATAAACTAATAGTACGCCAGTCTAAGCAAAATTGGTCGATGGAATCTTTAGTGTCTCTCCAACAGAGATTTAGTGGAGTTAAAAACATGATGAATGCACCTCATGGAGGTTAGTGATACCCTTCCTCCCACTAGAAGTAAGGACTGTTTGAAGATCTGGTCAGTGAGTGTGGGAGGGACCACAACTAATCATTCTCTCCAAGGCAGGAGGGGATCTCAGCCCAGGATTTCCAGAAGTCATTTTCCAGTCCCTTATCTCCTATATCTCCAGCAATCTGGCCCCTGAGTCAGAAGACTAGACTCTGCAAATACGTACAAGCTGCTTTCTAGACTGTAGTAATGGTTTCCCTGCTGCCAGCTTACCCTACAGCTTCAGTATGAAGCTGGTCTCAAAGTAGGTCAGTCTTATCAAAATAATGTTCCCAGGTCAACTCCCCTTAACCTGAGCATCTTGTCAATTGCCTCATCTCCTTCAATGCCTAACTTCTGCACACCTTGTGAGTATGCATAAATCTATGGCCCCTTGGTTCATGTCAATCCAATCCAGCCTGTCTCTTACGTTGTCTATTGTCTATGAATGTTTTTATTACTATTAATCTTTGCTTGCTCTAATACCTGATCTACAGCCTGTGCATAGCCATCCATCTGACTACCATGTGTTCAAGGTAGACCCAGACTCCATAGAAGCCTGTTGCCAGTTCAGATCACAGGCATGACATTATCTAACAAAGCTGCTACCAGCTTTGTTTTTCCTATTTGTAATTTGGAAAAACACAATAAAAATGATAATTGTGTGCTGTCAAGTCAATTCTGACTTACGGTGATCCTTTTCAGGGTTAGAGAAGCAAAAACAAAGAAACAAACACACACAAAATCCAAACTGAAGAAGATGCAGATCCTCATTCTGCCACAGTGGTCAGATGTCTGTCTTGGAAGTCTCTATATCTTCTCCACAATTAGTGTCTCTGACATCATACTCATTATTCTAACAATATAAAGGTATCAACCGACAGGCACATTCTAACTTTATCCTATATATCACTGGTTCTTAACCTTGGGTTACTCAGGAGTTTTGGACTGCAACTCCCAGAAGCCTTCACCACCAACTGTGCTGGCTGGGGTTTCTGGGAGTTGCAGTTCAAAAGTATCCGAGTAACAAAGGTTAAGAACCACTGCTATATATGTTTTCAAATACAAGTCGAGAAATATAACATTGGAAGTACTCTACACTCTGAATAATTAAACACAGAGCAAAAATAATTACTAAAAGCCATTACAGCTGTCACCGTTCTTTTCTGGCCCTTAGCTTATACAGTGATGGCATCCTTGTTTTAGTCATAGCTGCAGACAGCAGCAGTGGGCCAGTATCAGCCAATCAATTCCTTCTTACAATCTCTCATGTAACTGATGATGATGATGTATTTATCACCAACACCCCAGATAGAAGCCAAAAACATGGTTGCTTACCTTCCACAATAAGCCATACTTGCTGTGATTCCTCCTTCTTTCCATTGATCTCAACTTGGCACCAGTACTTTCCGGAGTCTGTCCGGTCTACAGACTTCAAGCTAAAGAGACGAGAAGCAAGATAAACAATACTGTTAATTACACATAACGCTGTACATAAATATCTGTCATCCATATTAAAACATACTGTATTTCAAAATCATCCAGGGATCTACAAACACTCTGAGCCATCTCTGAAGTGAAAGTGTCACCATAAGACGTCCTTCTCCTTCAGTATTCACATGAACACTGTATTAGGAAAAGTCACACTGACATAAAAAGCTTCTTACAATGTAAAAACTAAGTCCATCTGTATCTGAAGATGTGTCTTTCCCCTCACATGGCCTGAGACCTTTATTTGGATCACAGAACTGTAGAGCTGGGAGGGACCTCAACAACCACTGAGTACAATCTCCTGCAAAGCAGGAATCCCACAGCTAAAGCATCCCTGACTGATGACCCTCCAACCTCTGTTTAAAAAGCTTCCATGAAGGAGAGCCCATTACCATTCTGAGGTGTTCCACTATTGAACAGTTCCTACCATTCCTGACTATGACCTGAAATCTTCTGCTGAAGCCATCGTTAAGGGGCTTCCTTTCTCAGAAATGTATTCAATTTAAAAAGAAAGAGAAAGGAGGACTATTCAGTGGTGGCCCTCAGTAGTGGAACATCCTACCTTAGTGTCCCCATTATTTCAATACCAAGCAAAAACATTATAGCTGCACTAGAGTGAAGCAGATTACGTATATTGTGCAGGATAGCAAATCACTATTCTACTAAGCAATTCAAAAATTGGGCCAACCCCCCCCACAAAAAAAAGTTTTAAAACTTGACTTTGGATCAACACCGAATTTGGCATATGCAGTCTACTCCTGATGTGTGCCAAATTACGGGAAATCTGGGCAAACAGTTTTTGTGTTACGATTTTTAACAAGTAAAATTGATTTACACCCCATCCCCCAACAAGGAACCTTTTTTGCCTGCAGATTTAAAACAGACCAGATAAATTGAAATGCCCCATCTAGCTTTTCTTGAAAGATAATCATTAGTTCCAGCTGCTGTTTTATTTGGAACGAATCCAGGCTGCATAGAGTGAAATTGGTGTTATGTGTCATCAAGTCACTTCAGATTTATGACAACACTATGGATGGATTATTTCCAAAATGTCCTGTCTTCAATAACCCTGCAGACTCAAGCCTGTGGGTTCCTTTAGGAAGTCAGCTCATCTCATATTTGGTCTTATGCTTTTCCTCCAGTAATTAAGAAAAATTGTTGTTCAGTAATTAAGAAAAAATTCCAAAGATGCTCTGTGCCATCAAGCCACTTCTGATGTTTAGTGACTATATGAGTAATTAGCTTCCAAAATGTCCTGTTATTAAGAACTCTGATCAGCTCTTGCAAGAAAACATCATCTCAGGTTGTTCTCTCTTCCTACAAAACATCATCTCAGGCTGTTCTCTCTTCCTACTGCCCCCCACTACTTTCTAGCAATCTTGTCTTTTTCTGTAAGTTCTGCTCAGAACCTATAAATGAACAGCTATGCCTTCCTCTATTGAGTCAACTCATCTCATATTATGTCTTCCCCTTTCCTACTGCTCTATCCCATTTTCCCCAACAAAATAGTCTTTTCTGATCACTTCTGTATTTCCATTATAGGGGCGTGGTAGGATAGTCTCTGTTGACTCATTTTTAGTCTAGTGAGGGTTCAGGTTTGGAATGACTGAGCACCAATTTTTCTGCTTTTCTGGCTATCTTTGTTATCCATAGGGCTGTCCTCTAACACCACATTTCCAAAGAGCTGATTTTTGTCCCTGCCTTCTTTACAATTTTTTTTACATACTGTAATATGATTTTGACCTTGTTTTCTAGTAACAATCTTTGCTAACTCCCAGCTCTCTCTCTCTTTTGTAATTTCAAAAGTCAAGGTGACATCCTTTGGAAGACATGTATATAACATGTCCATAAAACTTGTGGTTCAATATAGCTTTTCTTCCACAGGTTGCCTAACCCAAGGAAATGGTTTGGAAATTGGAACATGACTTTCTAGTTTGTATTCTGCAGGCATGGCAACATTGGTTTACCTGAGAGATTAATGGGTGTGTATGTTTTTCCATTTTATATGTTGTACTCACTCACATCTTTATTTCACCATTTTTCATTAAGTCCAAAACAGGCCTTCAAAATATTTTGGCACACAGGGACTACAGCCATATCCTAGCTGTTCCTTCCTAGCAACCATACTGCAAATCATATGCTCATCTTCTGGTATCCTCTAGCCCTGAGTAAGTCTACATGAGAGAAGTTTCTGTTGGAATGTGTGTGTCGTGTATGTATATTTAAACTTCTTTTTTAAAAAGCCATTCTTCAAAAACCCTCTGGTTTGTCAATGTGGGATATTGTGCTTCTATCTATATCCATGATTCAAGACCCCAAGAAATGGCAAAATATTGCTGTATAATATTGTGTCCACACTGTCAGCAGGAAAAAGGATGCCAAACTTGACACAGCAAAGGGCAGTCTCAATGCTGACATTACCAGTGGCAACAGTCAATATGGTCTATAGGATTCCCACTTCCATTTACACTTTTTGAAAACCAGCCCTGATAATTTATAGCCCAACAAGCTATAAATACAGCACTCCCAAAGCCAACTACACCAGAGCACAGAGTGCTACTCCTGTCCTCTGAAGATGCCGGCCACAGAGACTGGTGAAACGTTAGGAAGAACAACCTTCAAAACACGGCCAAAGAGCCCGAAAAACCCACAACCACCGTTAGCCCTGATAATTGCTTTGTGTTTGGTAAGAAGTGGTATATTTATGAAAAAAGGAGTCAGCTTCTGGGATTTATATTTATGAAAAAAAGGAGTCAGCTTCTGGGATTTTCCCTTGTGTGGTGTCACTCTGTTAAAGGTTGTGACCACAAGAAGGTATCTTGTAAGTCTATCTTGACTGCTACCATTGGTGTTGTCAATATTCAGGCTTCCCTTTGCTATGTAAAGCCTGGCCTCCGTTTTCTCGCTGGCATCACAGAATACCAGGCCATTTTCTGGCATTCTTAATCATGGATACATATATCCCACATTCATAAATGTTTCTTTACTCAAGCAATTTAATTTAAATGTGCTATAAATGCAGTGTAATTTAAAACAAAGTTAATTTGTTCATTGTTTAATATTAAATTCTCATTTATTTGATGTGCGCTGAAATTCTAAAAAAATAGTGGTATAAAATGCTTTAAGTAAATAGATACTTGAAATCTAGCCAACTATTCTACTCTGACTGGCAACAACTCTCCATGTTCTCATACATTTCTAAGCCTTGTCACCTAAGATTACAATAACTAAAGGTGCCAATATGTTGCATTTGTTGTTGTTTTTTAAAGACCACTAATTTTTAAAAATATTTTTATTGTCTTTTTTCTACTTTTCGATCCGTTGCAACCAGAGTGATTTATTACAATATATTCCATTCATTTAATCCTATCTTATACTCTCTGACATAGTATTGATCTAATCTATTCTACTTAAGTTGATGTAGATTTCATCCAGGTATTAAGAGGTCCCCTTTTATTATTATCCAGTCTGTCATTTAATGTATCTGTCAAAATATACATTTCTGCTAGTTCCAAAATCTTCTCAATAAATTCCTTCTTTGTCGGGATCTCTGTCATCTTCCACTTACTGGCATATACAATTCTAGCTGCCGTTATTAGGTGTAAGGTCAAGTAGGTCTTGTTTTTTTCAAGTATAGGCGGTAATATATTCAGTAAGAAGCTTTCTGGTGTCAAAGCAATTTTACCTCCTAAAATTTTCTCTATCATTTCATTAATCATTTTTCAAAATTCCTTGGCCTTATTGCACGTCCACTACATGTGATAGAAGTTCCCTACATTCTTTTCATATTTCCAGCACTTGTTAGAAACATTTTTATACATTTTTGTTAATTTCTCTGGTGTTACATACCATCTAAAACATTTTGTATATATTTTCTTTTAGATGTATAGATTTAGTCATTTTAATATTTTGTTCCCAAATTTGTGACCAGGCACTTAATTCTATATTATCCTGTATTTTGAGCTCACTTTACCATGCAATCCTTCACAATTTCATCTTCCATTTTTTGCTCCATTAAAGTGTATAATATAAACCTTTAATCAATTTTTCCTCTGAGTTCAGCAACCCCTCATCCAAAGGGGTTATTTTGTCTTTCTGAAACCCTATAGCTTTATCTTTTACATATCTTGATTTCAACAGGTTTATCGACCACCAGTCTAAAATAATCCCTTGTTCTGCCAGTTCATCTTTGTTTTTTAGATTAAAATCTCTGTCTAATATCTCGGCATATCTCCTGTTTATCCCTTGAGGGATAAGACCACTAATTGTTGATCCATCCAAACTTTTGGCAGTAGGAGCACAATTTATCTCGTCCTGAAGTACAGTACTTGTTTCCAGCATTTCACTGGCCATGTTAAATTGTAACATTAGGGAAAATAGCCTTTTCTGTTGACGACTGGCAAAGGAATATGGAGAGGAGGAGAATTTACATTTTGGTATATTTCTACCTGAAAATGTTTGTGTAAAACAGATCATGAAGCAAAAGAAATTCTTTAGAGAAAGTTATTAAGCAGTGATCGCAAAGCACTTGGTCCAAAACATATGATAAAAACATGTTTTATGAGATGGTCAAATACTTCTGAAAACCATTCACATATCTTAGGTACACGTACATGACAGATACGAGTAAATGTCTGTCTTGAATTACTTCACAAATTAATTGAGTCAGTGCTAAGCAGTTTCTGTCTAATAGTGTGAGAGTTTACCAAATCAGTGATTCCAGGCAGTTTACAGTATTTGTTCTCGAACTGAAAACTGCCAACGCAGCCAAACCTAGAGACAAGAGTCTGAAAACATGCAGAGAAAGAAAATATGTTGGTCTGATGAGAGTTAAAAGGGTGGGGCAAAATCAAATGTTGCCTCATAAAGGTAATGATTCAAGAGTTAGATCTCTTCTCTGACCTTACTTGACACAGTTCAACCTGAATAAGGCTCTTAATAAGCTAGCATTTTCTTACTGGGAAGAAAGCACAAACGCCACAAGGGCTCTCAGCAAGCGACTGCATTCACAGCAAAATGTTGTCATCACAGCTTTAACCCCTCACCAGGCGGAAGTGTTGTTGCCAATAATCCATTTTAAGTTATATAGATTTCTAATAGACTGAAAACCTCTCTGCGTAGTTTCACCTTGTGGCAGCAGTAAGACAAAAGCCTGCTGCTTTCATCTGTAGCAGGTCATGGCACAATGATGAAGTAAAATGAGCATGATTCAAACTGAAGATAAGCCTGGCATCAGAGGCACTAGCATCACTCCTAGGACCCCTTGAGTCACTTATCCTATTGCTAGTGCAACCATGTGTATTGCCTTTAATTACGATTGCCAGAGATGCAATTTTAACACTATTAGCAATAATGCAGTCTTTCCCTGTAAAACAAGTGCTTACAGAAGCACAATTCGGTTTTGAAAGCTCTGATCAGTATTCTCAAGATACTATTAATTCAAAAGGCCTCAGGAGAGAGGTGTCTGGGGATATTGAATCACTGTATATGTCTGGCAATTACTGCCATTTTCACTGAACTCACAAATAATATAAAGAAAAATAACTGTCACTTCCCTTACCCAGCACAAATGCGCATGTGCATATAACGCCCCTTCCCCAAGTAAATCCACACCTGGATTTGCTACCTTATGACAACAGGTTCAAGTGTAATATGCTTGGCTTGATCTAAATGACGGAGTAAATGTGCTGGAACATCTCTTGTGGGGGGATGACTAAGCCTTGGTTTGTATGACACATCCTCCTCTCCCAACAGGATTCAAATCTGGTCTCAGAAGTCTGATTTTAATTAGGGCATCTCTTTTTCATCGGAGACAGCAAGAAAAGGATATGGTTGGAATAAATGAGTAAAAGGAAATGTTTAAGTACATTTCAGAATCTAATCCTCCCATTTTGCTGCAGAGCATATTGGAACAAACAGGAAAGCTTTTTCTTTTCTTTTTTCTTTCAGAAAAGATGTTATAAATGGAGAGGCTAGGAGAGAGAAAATCTCCCTGTATTAAAATGATAGATACAGGATGAGCAGAAAGCAGTGGTGGCAGCTAATACAATGCATGCTGCCAATTCTGCTTAGCCCTGGTCCTATGGCATCACACTGAGGAATTAAAAAGCTGAATAGACCTTCTGGGTCCCCTCTGCTAATAATGCTCCGAACTGTGATAAAATGTTGGTCTGGCCAATTCAGGTGTCAATTTACTGGAAAGTTGTTATACATGGGATTTGAATGGTTCTTGCTGTAATGCTGCATCATCCATTATGTTAGTCATTTTATTTATTGTTCACTTGTTTGTTGAAATATAAATATCAGACCTATAAATAGTAGAAATAAATATGTATGAGAAGATAATTCTGCATTATTATTTTTTACAACAAATCATCTCATGGCAGTTCCATGGATTTTTCCTCCCTTTTTTTCTTTGAAAGGTGATTCCCATATTACATGTCCAAAATCCTTGATGGAGGAAACATATGATGTCCAGCTAGAAATGGTGCAAGGTTTAAAATCTTATCAATGTAATTATTTGTAAAAATATCTTCCTGTTTCTAAGCCTGGCTCTAGATAGGATTCTGTCTGCACTTTTTAAATACCTGAAAGATAACCATACAGAGGAGGGACAGGATCTGTTCTCAATCACCCCAGAGTGCAGGACACGTAATAAAGGGTTCAAATTACAGGAAACCAGACTTTAGCTGAATATCATGAAAAACTTCTAAATTGTTAGAGCAGTACAACAATGGAACCAATCACCTTAGGAGGTAGTGAGCAACGTTGCAGGGATTCAAGAGAAAATTAGACAACCATCTGTCAGATATACTTTGATTTGGATTATTGCACTGTGCATGGGGTTGTACTCAATGGCCTTATACACCCCTTCCAACTCAATTATTTTATGATTCTATGATAATAAGATCTGGAATGGCTGGCACTAATTGAGAAATTAGTGAATACCATTTCATGTCAGGTCAAAGGGGAATTCTCCTTAGCAAAGGAAGCTTCAGCTACCAGCTGTCTACTTGCACTGCAAATTCTTGGACCTGAAAGCTCTAAACTGTCTGCAGGTATAACATAATGAGGCACCCTCCAAAGGATAAATATCCCTCTTCTAACTCTCTGGATAAGGCTGCTACATTATCCTTAATAAAGAACTTGGTGCAAACCAGACAAGAGTGCTGGGATACCATGCTCATATCCTGAGCATCACAAAATCTCATTTTTGTCTCCCATTCTCACTTGCCTGACTCTGGAATCTCTACAGACCTCTGAAGAAACATCCCTTATAATTATTCCAGTCGTGTTATTATGGGATAGAAGCTCAAAGCTCTTCGATATTACATTTAAAATTACATTCAAAGCATATCCAATTCTACCTAAAATAGGCAGCACATCAATATTACACAGTGACAGAAGAACTAGAAGTTTATTGTTCAGCTAGCTTTGTTCTCTGCCTCAGCTTTCCCCTTCTCTTTCTCCCTTTCTCCCCTATCAATCTTCAGCTTACCTCAGCATTTCCACCAACAGAAAGGGTGGTGAACGTACGATCCTCAAGGTCAGTGGGTTCTCAACCTTGGGTAACCCAGATGTTTTTGGACCACAAGCCTGAACAACTAGCTGGGGTTTCTGAGATATGTAGTCTGAGAACACCTGGGTTACCCAAAGTTGGGAACCACTGCTCTAGGTGTTCCTTTTCCTTTCATCCCTTACCACTGGCCATGCTGACTTTTAACATCTGGAGGGCCCCGATTCTCCACTGTTGATCTACAGCAAAGCTCTCAAAGCCCAGCAAAGCAATCCAGGCAGTTCCTGGGTCTTAGAATTTGGGCTGCTTCTCCTCCTCTCCTCCTTCTTTATCAGCCTTTAACTACAACAGAATTCCTTTTTTTCAACTCATCAACTTTATGGGGAATCAGTCTTAAGACACTAGCACCCCCTGCCCCCCCTAACCTTTTGGAGAAGTCAGACATGAAAGTAACTGAGATTGTGATTAGATCTTAGATGGGGGGGAATAACTATCTTATGGAACGAGAGCAGTCCACTAAATTTGCCCCCTGGCTAAATCATCTCTGAATCTTGATATTTTACTAGACTGCTGCCGTGCCTTTCTCCCCAACTGAAAAGGCAGCATAGTACTATTGGCTAGTTTGGCCAATAGACGGCACTCAGGTTCAGGAGGTTTCTTGTTTAAAACCTGTCTCTGCCATGAACTTTCTAACTTGCCTTTGACAAAACAATGACCCTCAATACCCCCTTCTGCAGTACAGGGATAATAATACTAATAGTTCTCAGATTGCTGTAAGCGTTAGAACTAGATTTTACACTTAAAAGTGCCATACATGTATATGTTAAGCATTAAAAACTAGAAAAATGAGGAAAGATTTAGAAGGGCTTTCCTACAGCCCTGAAATATCAGCATGAATTGTTTATGTGCCTAAGATTTTAAACAAATAAAAAAAACTGGGTTGATTTCAGGGAGAATTTTATGTTTGCACAGTTCATTAAATGACATCAGATCAGTTTCCATCTTTCATCCAGTTTTTAATTGTTTCAAGGATAAAATGGAGAGGTGACTGAGGCAGGAAATAGTTGAAAAACACAATAAAACAGCTAACAGTATGATCTGGCATCCCTTGTACTGTACACCACTCATACCTGAGAAAACCAATCCAGTGTTCTTCATCTACCGGAATGTACACTTGGTCTACACTCTGCACCACTGCTCCATCTTTGATCCATAACATCTCTGGATCTTCCATTCCCTCTAAGCTGCAGTTCAGTTTCACAGGCTGCCCCTGAGACACCTTCAGTTTGATTGGCATTCCAGAAACCTTTTTTCCTGAAAGAAAGCAACCTCCCTCCTCTCCACACCCACAAAAGGGGAGCGAGGAGGTTGGGAGTACAGCAAATTAATTGTGGTTGGTGGTAGCCTGCAGAGCAATACAGTTAAAGAACAAAAAGTACAGCCAACTAAACACTTCATCAGAGCCTCATTATATTTGTCGTAAGATTATAGAACAGGAACGCTGAAATTCCCATTAGGAAATAACAATGGAGGCTAAATCCCCCACGCAAGACTTCCTCCAAAACTTACCAATTTGGAGATCAACAGAGTGAAATCCACACAGTAGCAATCTGTCAATGGGGGAGACAGATGCAGAGAGCATCCTTGCAATAAAGCCCTGGCAATGGTTTTGAAGGTGTTATTCTCTGAACACATGTGCAGTACCACCCAAAATTCCTTCCCCGCCCACCCCCCACAATTACTAGGAAATATTCATGTGGTCTCATGAAATCACAGCTTTTAATCTACAGCTATGAAAAGAGCTGACATTTTAGAAAGTCGTTCATGCAGGGGCTATTCACTGTGCACTTTCTCTTTATTGGAAAAGTTCCCAAAAACTAGGAAAACACAGTGGAAATAAAGACTGATTGAGAGCTTTGCTATGAAAAGAAGCTAACAGCTTACAGAATAGATTTTTTTGAGCAGGGTGGATTCTCTCTTTCTCTCTCTAACGTGCAGCAGCGTGGGATTACTTCAGTAGCCAGGCAACCCCCAAACTCAGGTCTTCAATGCCAAATTCTGATCTCATCCCCCATTTGGGTGGCTATCACTGTTAATTGCAGGTCTGGTGTTTTCTCAGATTTCCTTAGGGACAAATGCATTCAGAATGTGCTTCAAGGTGCTCAAAGGAATTTAAGTGGGTGGGTGGAGAACAGTTGCTTCCACAAGAGATGAACCCTTGGGAAGTAGATACTGCAGCAGGCTTTATGCACAGTTAGGAGATAAGATGAACATATGTGGCAAGAAAGAACATAACATGGTAAATATGCATCAAAGTAGAAGATAACCATTAATGGCCGGTTTCAAGAGAAGAACAAGCTTCCTTGCTTATCCCCATTGCAACTAATGGCAAATGTTAACAAATAATAAGTTTCAAAGTGTGACACAAATTCCCTGTACCCTCTTTTAATATTGTGCTGCGGCAATTTTTTGCAAGCAGGTGAAAAAGATAGCAGAATGTTACACATAAAGTATGCCCCCAAAGTCCATTCATGTTCAAATGTCTAACAAGCAATTCTAAGTGTGTTCTATTGAATATGCTAGATTATCATTTAAGATATTTGCTCTGAGTTTAGAGATCAAGAGAGCAGGGTGGTGCATGCAGGAACTTGGGCGGAGGCAGGGACAGGGCATACACACACCTAAACACCCAAGTCTTTGCAGGAACAACAACCAGGAATTAAATTCCAGCTCTTGCCCTGGCTGGCCAAACATTTGTGCTTATTATTTGCAGGAGCAGCACCAAGGCAAATGGACTAAAACAAACAGAACCTACAGTATATGACATTCACATTTGAAGGAGAAATCTGGACTATACCTAACTCAGTTGAATGAAATTCTGTTGTATAGACTACATTTTCCTTCCTAATAAGGGATGCTCCAAAAACAGAGATCTCTGAAACTGAGGGAGTCCTGCTTCGGGAACATTGTGAGAAGGTAAGATTTGCTTGGGAAAGACAATAATGCGGGGAAATGTTGAAGGCAGCAGGAAAAGAGAAAGACCAAGTAAGAGATGGATTAACTCCACAAAGGAAGCCACTGGGTTGAGTTTACAAGAGCTGAGCAGGGCCGTTGAAGACACGACATTTTGGAGGTCACTCATTCATAAACGAAGGTGACTTGACAGCACACAACAACAACAAAACCGCTATGGGGAGAGGGAGGAGGTAGGCTGAGGGATGGAAAAGAATGAAGGTGGTAACACTTTTCCCCCTTTGTTCAGTCAACAAATCCTAATGAGCCCTATGCAAGTGAAAATATCTTGCATCAGTTACTCCTTATTTTCTTCCTGTTTTTCCATAAGCAACCAGCAGCCATTCACTGTGCACAGAAGTATGTTCACCACTCCCAGTTTGAAGCAGAGTGAAGACTGTAAGTGAAGTAAAATCTATAGCAGTAGTGATTAATACAAAGCTGGTTATATCTTTGTTCAGTTGTCACCACTATCCTCTCCAGGGCTCATTTGCCTTTCCAGAAAACAAGAATGTAACAACAGCCATCCTATTCCAAATGGAAATGCTGTCATACAGAACACTGAATGTGTTCCAACCTCTATGATGCTGCTTACAAGGGCAGACAAGTTTTGCAGAGTCAAAAAGATTGACAACTCAGTTCCGTTGTGAACCTTTCAAAATGAACTCTGCTAGTAATACTCTTCCATAAAACTCTGTCCAGGCCCAATGGAAGGAGATAGTGGCATGGTGTTGCTGATGCCTCTGACAACATTACTAAATGGCCCATTCTAGGGCCAGCGTCAAACAGTACTTGCTTGGCTATGGTCTCATGGGTATCGACACACTTCCTATGGAAAGTCAACATATCCTGGTTAGTGATTCAAGTGACATTTGGCCATTTTCCAGTCTTTCCAATAAGCTATCCATGTAATATTGCTGTAATACTAGCTGTACTACTGTTTTAACAGAGTGTTTTGACTACTGGCTATTAGCTACTGAAGCAGCAACACTAGTATCTGAGCAATACCACTTCAAAATGGGGGAGGGGTGTACTGGCATGGTTGAACAATGGTTCTTCCCTTTGAAAATGGTGTGTTAGGAAGCTAAGCAAACTGGCATCTAGTTTTCTATGTGAGTAGGAGTTTTTTCCTTGGAGGAAGTGTTCAAATATCTAAGCAGTGTGTACTCGTACAACCAAAGGCACAGATTTATTGTCACTGAGACACAGGCATACATAGTATCTGTCCAGCATAACATCACTGCTTGGCCATCAAATTGCATTATAATCACATCGACAAATTGGCAGTTGCTGATAATGCCTCACAATACAGCAAAAGTGACTAGGCAAGTTTTTGCTGAGCAAGAATTAAAAAGTGCTTGAAATCCAATTGCACAACACAAATGGACAAGATTTCTCCTCTCTCCCTCCATCCTCTCCTCTCTTCACATCTGCTCTGGAAGGCAAAGAATCCCTCCAGCGAAGATTCTGAAGGGAATGGGACTCTGAGTGGAAGGAGGTGATAGAAAGGGCCCTTTCCAAAAGCAGAAGTCCAGAGCAGAAGGACATCTGGCCTCCAGAAGGCACCTCAAGCACCTTCTGGGGGCTAGGCATAAATTAAACAAAGATACAAATAAATATAGCATAAATGAATAAACAAATAATGCAGCTCATTTATCAGAACATGCTCCACTATTTAATGCCCCTTTGAGATAAATACTCCTAGGGTCTGTCTGCCTTAAAGTCTTTTCACTGCTTTTGAATCTTAAAATATTTAATCTGAATTTAATTTTATAATATCCCTGATTTTGCTCTGATTTAGTTTTCTTGTATGAAAGAAACCCCAAGAATTTTGTAGCTAACCTCCCTGTTCTTCACTACACAAAGGCAAGGGCAGATAACACTTCTTCTTCATCATTTTTTTTTTTTACTATTTGACTTCTTCATATGATTTTACATTTTTACTGAAAATTGCACAGAACATTTTGATTACTGGGCAATACACAAATACTGAAAATAAATAAACAGAATAAATCCGTGCAACATCAGCGACACTCAGCCTCTGTAATAGAAAAGCATTTTAAGCTTTTCTTGGATTTCTATAGGATTTGCTGCTTATTAATTTACAAATTCCCATGTCAAACCCTAAGTACAGTACTGTATTTCACTCTTTTGTTGTACTTATTAACTTAATAGAAATTGCCAAGAGCAGTGAAGCTAGCAAAGTGATAGTTTGCATTTAGACACAGTGTTTTATTGTTGTTGGGCTAAGGAATTAATCACACTAATGAGAAACATGCTCTAACCTATATATATATACCATGACTAGTTACGTAAGTTGTGAAGAACTGCTACTTTGGTATTATGCATTATGGGAGGGAAGATGTGTTCTGACACACACACACACAAATGTGCCTTTTCTAAATTAAGTAATAAGAGGTTAGAGCATGTTTCTCATTGGTGTGATTAATTCCTTAGCCCAACAACAATAAATATATATGCTATATATAAAATCCATGCATCCAATGACAGGCTGGCAAGTTTATGAAATATATTTGTTAGTAGCAAAAAACGACCAAACAAAAAAAACACCTGCTCAGATTCCAACAATCCACTTGACTAAACCAATTAAATAACAAACAAAAATGATATATTTGGAGGAAACTTTAAGATTTAGCTCCGCACCCTTGCTGAGGTTCTAAAGCTCAGGTCACATTTAAAGGACAGTACTGAATAAAGTACAAGAACTTCAAGACAGTGAAACAGCAGAGATTTTCATGGGACCAAGCGGATACACTTTTGGCTCCTGATAAAAGGAAACAAATGGTTGCTTAAGAAACAGCTAGGTTTGGAAAGATCAGAAGCTAATATTAACATATATATTACTTGCACGTACACAATGTATACACGCCCACACAAACTATATACATACGCATATTTATCCAATTTCTAGCTATTAACTTACTTATTAAACCCTTACTCACAAAGGAAATTAAAACCTAGTCAGTAATCTCTCTTTACTACATAAAGGTTATGGAATCATAAGAAGTGGCTCAGTTAAGTGGAGCAGCTGAACTATCCTAATGGATCTGCACTCAGAAAGAAGTGTGGCTCTTTATATACTTTAATTAGCAGGTGGAAAGTGTATAAAGAAATCACATTGATTATGTAACTATGCATCAAAGAAATAATAGATATTTTACTATTTCTGTGAATAAATAATACGTTGTTTGCTAGCTGACTGGTAAAGGTAAAGGTTCCCCCCTTGACATTTTTAGTCCAGTCGTGTCCGACTCTAGGGGGGCGGGGCTCATCCCGTTTTCAAGCTGTAGAGCCAGGGCTTGTCCAAAGACAGTTTCCGTTGTCATGTGGCCAGCGTGAGTAGGGAATGCCGTTTTACCTTCCCACCGAGGCGGTACCTATTTATCTACTCGCATTTGCATGCTTTCAAACTGCTAGGTTGGCGAGCAGCTGGGACAAAGAGATGGGAGCTCACTCCGTCGTGTGGATTCGATCTTACAACTGCTGGTCTTCTGACCTTGCAGCACAGGCTTCTGTGGTTTAGCCCACTGGTTCTTAACCTTGGGTTACTTAGAGGAGTTTTGGACTGCAACTCCCAGAAGCCTTCACCACCAGCTGTGCTGGCCGGGGTTTCTGGAAGTTGCAGTTCAAAAGCATCTGAGTAGCATCTAACAAAGGTTAAGAACCACTGGTTTAGCCCACAGTGGCACCACATCCCCCTGATCGGTAGGCAGCACAGAAAGTTATCTGAGCTCCTATATTCATGAGAAAGGGTCGAGTTCACCTACTGGGTCCTCTCTGGCTCTGAGCAGGAGGTAGATTCTCTTTTCCCCCTTCAACATGCCTGCCCAGCTGAGAAGTGTATCTTGCCAACAACAAAAAGAACAGACAAAATCAGGTAGGAGATATTCAGTACGGTATTCTTCCTTTTGGAAAACTAATCAGCAAAAAGTAGCGCAACCCTAAAGACTCTCTCCTAGTTGCACTGCCATGCCATGTTCCTAAGGGTCCCTACTGCTGGTAAGGCACTTCTTCCCTAACCAATTAGGAATTAGTATTTTATTACCGTACAAATGAACTGCTAGCTTTGATTACAATTAAGTATTGTTAGAGACTTTTGCATCACAGCTTCTTAACATCCAGTTTCAATAAAATGTTTTGACTGCTGGCAAAAAAACATTAAAATGCATTTTAGGAAAAAAACAGAGAGAGAGGTAGCTTCATGAAGAGCTGTCACTGAGTCCCTCGAAAGCTGTTATCTCAGAAGTCAGATATAAAAGACTAGAACAGGTTCTTTGGATCCTGATGGTATTTCGGAGTTGACGGTTCTAATCTGTGATCACATGATAAACATTCATTATGTTGACCATACTCCTCTCAGTTTGGAGAGATTCCACTGTACTATCATGGATAGGAGCTGGTAGCAATGTGGAAGCTGTCAAAGCAACAGCAACATGCTTCAACTGTCACACAGGTAGAATCTTACTGGTGGCATTTCCAGCAGCTTGTGTTCAGCTATATCGTGACTGAATCAGCCATTATACAGCATGCAAACTCTGAGAATCCAAAGATTTTTCTTAATCATAATATTTTTTGTTGTTTTCATCAAGCTGATTATGGCTTTTTAGGGTTTTCTTAGCATTAGAGTACTCAGAAATGACCACGTAACATCCCAAAATCACACAGCCTAGCAAGATGTGTCTTACAAGGCACATATTTCTGTTTTTGTAGATCCTGATCGGTTTTGTTGGTTTACTTAAGGCATTTATATTCCACCATACATCCTGAGATTTCATGGTAAAGTACAATAATAAAAGCAATATGAAACAATTAAGTACTTTTAAAACATAAAGAGCTGCAGATCTTAAAAATAATTGCAGTAGAGTCTGTTAAAGCCATGATCCTTAATCCCCAAAATCTATAGTGTTCTCAAGAGTTCAGAATACAAAACGATGCCTTTTACTGAGTGGGACCACTGGTCCATTTGGCTCATTATTGTTGGCACCTTTTGGCAGTGGCTCCCCGGAGTTTCAGACTAGGAATATTCAATCTGAAGGTGCTAGGGGTTGAACCTAGAACTTAGCACATGCTATATGTGTGCTCCGATACTGAAACATGACATTAAAATATGAGCAGGTATGGTAGCAGTGAGACAATGCCCTGACAGGAGCAAGACTTAGTTAGTCCTCCTACTCTTGGTCACTATGTCTTGTCTGCCTGATACCACAAGGATCTGTTAGCCTTGTATGACACAGAGCTATAAACCTTATGCCAATGAGTCAGGGCCACCTTTCTCTTTTCTTATCTGTTCCTTTTCATCAACTTGCGTCTGTTCTTTGCCTTCTGTCTATAGATGACTTTGATTCAAAATCGACTCCAGGCTTTATCCTCTCTACCACAGAAACCATTTATCCTTGCAAACTGGTTCCAAAGGGATGCAATGAAGAAACTTCAGAAGATAATACTTCTGACTCAATTCATCAATTATTTAGAAACAAAGATGCTCATTCTGATGCTATACTAGACAAATGGATCATGACAGCACGAAGACTGGAGTCATCAGATTTTCTCCTCTGGTCTGGAATTGGTAACCTGAACTAACTGGGATAGTCAACAGCGTTCATATGCAGATGTTTCCTTCCTTAACAGATTACTGACAACCTACACCTTGGGACATACCATTATATATTAATTTTCATTTTTTATAAAAGTATTTTATTTAAGCTAGCATAATTTGCTAGCTTAAAGACCCTGATGTTGAGAAAGTGTGAAGGCAAGAGGAGAAGGGGATGACAGAGGACGAGATGGTTGGACAGTGTCATCGAAGCTACCAACATGAATTTGACCCAACTCTGGGAAGACAGTGGAAGACAGGAGGGCCTGGTGTGCTCTGGTCCATGGGGTCACAAAGAGTCAGACACAACTTAACAACTAAACAACAACAACAATCATAATTTGAGAGAAGGACAAGTATTTATTTTCTCACTGTAAAATGTTGAAGCAAGTGTATAAAGTCTTAGCTGCATCTTTTTAATGGCTAGGAACTTAGAGGATAGACATAGATTGACCTAACACTACCAATCAAATCTTCATGTTTATACAAAAGTAGGTCTCGCTTGTAATTTACATTCCTTATCAATGTAAATTAAAGTAGGAAATTTAAACTCAAAAGTTTTGTAAATGCAATGTACTAATACACTAGATTGCCCCTTTCTCATGTGTTAATAAATATTTCGGAATATTTATTCTAAAAATCTTAAATGAATGCATAAAGATTTACAGATGTAAATCCAGATTCCCCAAGGCTTGGATTCCTTGAAGCCAGTATAAACAATTATACATTTATCACTGTTTCAAACACATGTATGTTGGCTTCACAACTGTCCTGCCACAGTGATGAATGCTGTTGTTGTTTAGTTATTTAATCGTGTCCAACTCTTCGTGACCGTATGGACCAGAGCACGCCAGGCCCTCCTGTCTTCCACTGCCTCCCGGAGTTGGGTCAAATTCATGTTGGTAGCTTCGGTGACACTGTCCAAACATCTCATCCTCTGTCGTCCCCTTCTCCTTTTGCCCTCACACTTTCCCAAAATCAGGGTCTTTTCCAGGGAGTCTTCTCTTCTCATGAGATGGCCAAAGTATTGGAGCCTCAGCTTCAGGATCTGTCCTTCCAGTGAGCACTCAGTGATGAATATTTGGTATCAAATCACATAGGGATGAAGGACTCTTCCTAAGCTGATGTAAATATTCAAAACAGAAACATAAATAAAAACTACTTAGGTCCTTTAACACATTTTAAGCGCTGGGCCCTTGTAAGCAACGGTGTCAGAACTCCTAATGACTATAATTCTAGCATCATGTGTTGTCTTAAAGGCAAGCCTCTTAAAGCAAACACACTCCATGATCTAGCTGTTAAAATGTGCTTTCACACAAGAATCAAAGAATGCAGGAGTTCTCCAGATATTATTCTGGCTGGCCAGGCTTCCTAGAGATAATTGAGGGTGGAGTTTGGCAACAGCTTAAAAACTACAGGTTGCTCATCCGTATTTTTGAGTGTATAGATCCATACCTGGATGTTGTTATTCCCACAACCACCCAGTGTGACAAGCATAGAGAGGAGCACCTGAGGCTATCAAGTACTTCTACATCCTCACTTACCAGATCTGCAAACGTAAGGAGGCCACCTACTGAAGTGCTTAGAGTGGACCTATAAAAGCTTATTATGCTAGACACTTTAAAACAGACCCATTCATCTCATCGACAAGGTACGTAGGTGAGGAGGATCATATATATCACAATATCAATAATAGAGCTGGACTATTCCAAGAACAGAATGTTTCTTCTTCTGAAAGAGACCTACTTCCCCCTGCCATTGCAGACAAGGAGGAGATAGGGGACAGAGTCAAATCCAGATAATACAACTGGTAACAAACTATTGACTGTATTCCACATGCCATTCATTTATATGAAACCAAGATGATGATGATAATGTAACACTAAGAACATGACCAATCACTAGTTATAGAGGACCCAGGGATATATTTTTTTAAAATAAAAATATCCCTTAATTAAGTTTTGTAAATTCTTCTAGTTCCAATGAGCAATTAAGAAAAGATTTAGGTCAGTTTCACAACATGCTGAAATGAATAAGAAGGAAACGGTGATTACAGCTCCTAAGGGCACCAGGAGAGTCCTAACTTCGTCGGGGGGAGTCCTTTTCCCAAGAAGTAAATTCTCAGCAGCAGCTGGTTTGTTTTTAACAGGTTGAACAGGAAGCCCACGAAAGGGCTGGCAGAAATAAGAAACAATTTTTGTTCCAATCAACCACAGAACAACCGAACCGAGTAAACAGCCGAGCAGCGACACGACAAGTCCGGGAGTCTCTCCGGGGCCAAACTTGGAAAGCATTAAAAAGCCAACGCCAAAGTCGGGATGGGAGCGAAGGAGGAGGAGGAGGAGGAAGAGGAGGAGAGCCCTCAAATGAATACAGTAGTTCAGCCGCCTTGCCTTCACCTCCCTCCGGTCGGAAAGAGAAAGCGGCGCCTTCCTTTCGCCCCTTCCCCGCGAAGAATAAGAAGAAGAAGGGGGGGGAGGATGATTCGTGAGCTGAGCAACCTTACCTGTTACAGCCGCGATGTCCCGCAGGAAGAGAGCCCATAGCGCCGGCAGCAGCAACAGGAGTCCCCGGATCTGCATAGTCTGCTTCATCTCCATCGCTTCCACATCATCATCTTTATCACCATCCTCTCCGCTCCCTTCAAGCCGGCTGCCTCAGCTCGCTTCCCCTCTCCCCCCCCTTGAATGCTGTTAGAGGCAAGAATCACTGAAGAATGAGGATGCCTGGAATATGAAAGAATTACCTTTGTGGATGTATCGTCGGAGAGTCAAGGGCTGGTAGAGCGGAGGCTCTTCCCTCACCGCCGATCCAAACGGGCAAGGAAAGGGAGAAAAGCGGAGGTGGCAGAGTCCGGAACCACCACACACCGCCGCTCACGGCTCGGTCGCCTTACTTCTCTCCGCCTCTTCCCTGAGCTCCCAAGTCCTTCTCCAGCTGAGCTGAGAAGCAGGTCCCCCCCCTGCTGGCCTCCCTCCTTCAGTGCAGCGAGTCCACCGGAGGCGGGGCGGGAAGGAGGGCAGAACGGACCGTCGACCAGAAGAGCTGCTGCTGGGCTCGGCCGGGCTCGGAGCTCCCGCTCCCGCTGGCGGCTGCCCCTTCCTCGAGCGAGGTCCTCTTTGCTTCTTCGCTCTCTGTCCTCCTCCTCCAGGAAATGGCGCTTTCGGGAGGCCGGAGCAACCCTCCTCATGACATCACAGGCCTCATGAATATTGATCATACCTGTTTCTTCTTTTAGTGGAACTTTCCCCAACACCCCCACACCCACCACCTGGGAAATAACAAGCCTGGGAGGGACGCGCGTGGTTCCCGGGGACGGGGGAGAGAGATGGGGGGGCTGCATTTTATGTGGTTTGTGCAACCCTTCCACAAAGGTCTCAGAGGCTGGAAACTGCTTCCCACCCTTTGGAGATCCACACGCCATCCTAAATAAAATGAGGGAACCCCGGGGCCACTTGCAGAGGGTGGCCCTGCGCAAGTTTTTCCTCTCCAGAGACTTGTTAGGTGGGGGGGGGCATAGTTAAGACAAAGATCTAAATCCAACTGCTACTCCTGACTAGAGTTGATCCGATGAACACATGGGACGCACCCCAACGTCGCCTAACAGTTCAGCGATTCATAGGTCCTCTTACCTACTATGGCAAAGCTAAGGAACTAGCTTTCGGGGGGGTTTTTATATTCTCTAGCAAACATGGGTGCAGAGTCTAATTTCATTCAGTCCTTTTCAAGAGTTTCTCTCCCAAGTTGCTGGAGAAGCCCTATGGAGGAGAGCTAGTTTTACTATTAACCAAAGTGAGGCTGCAAATTCAGGTGGCAGATCCTGGCCTGCAGTAGAGACAAAAAGGGCACTCAGAGCCCTTGTTCCGGCCTGTGTTCATTAAACTAGCCTGGTGCCTTCAATACAAGGGAGCACATGGCTTTGACCTCAGAGTTGAAGATTCGGTGTCTACTCACGCTGGCCACGTGACCATGGAGGATTGTCTGCGGACAAACGCTAGCTCTATGGGTTGGAAACGGAGATGAGCACCTCCCCCTCGAGTGGGACACAACTGGACAAGTTTTCAAGGGGAACCTTTACCTTTACCATAGTTAGTTTCAGTATGTGGGAAAGGACACCATTTTTTTCACCTTGGGTAGAATACTTTGGGTCACCCCTGTCATGACATCAGTACTGGCTTGTTACCTTAAGTATCCATTTCATTCAGCAAATATTCACTGGCCAGAATCCATTGAATAACTGGTGTGGTTCCAAACAAAACAAATACTGTAGTGTATTTCAGGGATGAATAGCCAGTAGTTAAGAAATTGGCATCAGCACTTCTTGCCAAGTCTGATAAGCAACAGGAAGCACAACTGTCAACTTTGTAAGTAGTGGCAATTTGCTGCAGAGACTTGGATGGATTTACACTGGCTGGGATAAGTAAGAGGAGTCAATCCTTTCACCCCCAAGTCCTCTTATTGTTCACGTGTCCCTTTTTACTTTGGCCAATAAAGGGACTGTGTGCACAGCATGTTGTATTGTAGCTGTTCCCCACTTTTATTTGTAATGGCTGGAATGAAGTTTATGGGTCATGTTTCCCTATGAGAGAAAGTGAAAAAAGGTGGAGAGGCTCACATTTTCTCCACTGCTTACAGAGGGTTCCTAGCACAGATATAGGTGACCAGTTGTTTTCTCTGGAGAAGAAAGCCACAGAAAGAATGTTGGAAGAGGGGTATTAACAAGTACCAAATAAAATATTGGTGGGGCTAAAAAGTACGAGATAAATTAACAGTCCAACCCTATATACATTTACCTGATAGTTCCACAATGCTCCATGAACTTTCCATATAAATATATATCTGTAACAGATTGAAGCCCAAGGCCCAGTTACACATTTTTGTACTTTGAAAAAAGAATTGCACTCAAGCTTACTACATTTCTGTTGAAGTATAAGCTCCTGATCCAGATGAGGAAGTCTAATTCAAGAAATGTAAAACTACATAATGTATTTTTAAAATATTTGCAGTGGTGCATAATTATTTATGTTCCAAACATACTCCAAATGCTGCCCTTCTCTATTTCTAGAAAAGGGGGATAATACACTTATGAGATGGTGCACTTGTTAAAGAAGAAGCAATAGAGGTGCATTTTTTTCTTTTCGGATACTCATATGTACTTTTGCACAGCCCCCAAACAGGAACTGCCTAAGACATGGTGCAATTTGTATCCTGTATGCTCGTGCAACAACCCAGTAAAAGTGTACAGTGTCCAAGGCTGACCAAGATATTGTGGCATCTGAAACACACAAGTCACTCTCCTGACAGTTAAAAAAATCACAATAAATAACAGTATCCTATTCTTTCATGTTACCCCAAATCAGCTGATTAAGGAGGGTCACCTCATTTTGTCTGACAGTATAGCCAGCCCATGCTGTTTGACAGATAACTGTTTATTGATAACAATAACAATACTTTTCCTTGACTTCTTCTCACCCCTGATATTTTCAGCTTAGGTGTGATTGATTCAACAAAAGAATTGATTCCATTCTTTTTTGTAAAGATGAAGATTTTTACACCAATATTGTTGAAATAGTTGAGAATTAAGTAACATTCTGATTTATTAAAACTAGGTGAAACAATTGTCAAAACTCAGATATGTTCACTGTTGTACATCTATATCAGGAGTTGATTCAAATACATATTTTTTCCTAGTTCAGGCAACACACAAACTTATGTAGATATAATTTTCATAAGAATGCAATGTATGCACAATTGAATTTCATGGGAAATATCTCCATGTAATCAAATATAAATGTACTGTAAATCTGTTGTTCAAGGAGTACTGAATTTTCCAGTTTTTTCTTATTAGAATCTACCATCTATGTTTTAAATTTCTAAACAATCAGATTCTAGTTTTCTACTACCTGGAGACATTCCATCTTCCTTACTGCTTTCAATTCCTAGATTGGACGCATTGCAACCTTTTGGCTGCATTTATGTGCATAAATACATACAACCATGTGATTGATTAGGCATCCTTCAGTCTCGAGAGACTATGGTAACGTGCTCTGAATGGAGGACTTGGAACAGCATCTAGTGTGGCTGAGAAGGCCAATTTGAGAGTGACAATTCCTTCCACACTGAAGACAAATTCTGTATTGACAGTTGGTCAAGATGGCGGCGCAAGCACTTGCAGCGGCTAGGCATTCCAGAGATCGGCCCTTATTACGGACTCTACATGCTCAGGCACAAGTAATTTACACCTCCAGGTTGAATGCTCGGATGTCAAGGTTTCCCATCTGTTGAGGTCCATTCTTAAGGGCTTCAGATCCCACTTGCAAAGTTCCTTGTATCACAGCTGTGGTCTCCCTCTGGGGCACTTTCCCTGCACTAATTCTCCATACAGAAGATCTTTTGGAATCTGGAGTTAACCTCTAGGCAAAATCCAGAGTCCCAGAGGCAGTTCATGTTGTTCTGGCAACTCCTGCGACGTCGCTGGAACCAGTGTATTGGGTCTTGCCTTCCCATTGGACTATTTCAGCGATGTGGAGAGGGGGGATTTGCTGCTTGGGTAACAGCCTATCCTCCATATTATTTTACCCAGGCTTCGTGCTCTGGAGAGGACACTCCAGCTTCTCATACAACCATGTGATACGTACTTAATAATAGCAACCCAGATCCCAGGATACTGTTGTACTTCCTTTTGCACTTTCAACTAGGTAACCATATATGTATTTAAGAAATGTATGCCATAGGTTAAACATGCCATGCAGGATCTACTGCCAATAATGAGATCCCATGACAGGTATTATAATAATAATCTTAATCTTAAAACTGCAGAGCTGAAAGTATGCAAGAGTTTCTTGGTGAAGAATGTGAAAAAGAGTTTTGGAAGGTAGATTATTACAGACATTGTACACAAACAAACATGTAGCAAAGTTCCAGTATGGAGATGAAGAATAGTGTTCCAATTATAGAAAAATAGAAGAGTATTGTTCCCCTCATTCTATATGAGAGTACACTTTGCTATCATTTTGAAGAAGCTGTAGTTCCAGTGGTTCCCAACTTTGTATATTCCATGTGTTCTTGGACTGCAAATCTCAGAATCCTAGTGAACACAGCTGGTGGTGAAGGCTTCTGGGAATTGCAGCCAAAGAACACCTGGGTTATCCAAGATTGGGAACCACAGCTATAGAACATGACCAGAATATAGCTAATATGTACTTGTGGAGAATGAGGAGATGAGGCTACTAAATTTTATGGAGAGCTCTCAGTCTTTCCACCTACAATTCAAACTAAATTTGGAAGAAGAGAAATTAATCGTGAGAGAGAATAAACCCATTTTCTAATGAAAGATTCCACTTTATACAGCGGTTTTTCAAAACTGATTTGAGAGTCCCGTGCATGTTGGAACCTTTCATAATGCATGGAAGAAGCTGCCTGGGGAGCTCAGGAGCAGAGATGTGATAGGCAAAGTAAAGGAGAAATACTTATTCTCTACCTTTTCTCCATGTTAAATCCTGCTCCCATATTTTAAGATGTTTTAAAGAAGATGTTAAACTACATTTACATAAGTTTCTATGTGACTTGAAGTTAGGCTTGTAGTGAACAAACTATACTGGACACAATAACGAAGACTGACATTTTGACCTCCATTGTTAACAAGATCCAAATCTAATTTTAGGATAGCTAACTATA